AATATTGTCATTGATGACCATGGTTAAGTTGGTAACGACGACAACGAGAATGTACATGTTAATATTCGTTGATTCGCGTATATTCGTTGGAGCGCAACGGACAAATCTCTAAGGGGAGCTATATTTATGTATACGGTGGCGTAACGTTACAGTAATCAATACAAATAAATTTGAAAAAAGCAGAAATGAAAGTTTTCGTGGTGTATGTGGGAGGGGGTAGTTGTAGTAGAAAGATGAAATACTTCTTGAGACAGAAAAGTCATTGATATGCATATAAAACAGTCATTTATGTTTTATGTGATTTTGTCGATTCATTGTGCCTTTTTCGAATTTTTGGACTTTCAACGACAATAACAGAGCATACCACGAAATACCGTGGTAGACACTTCTTTTGCAGCTTGAAGTGTAATGATCGAATTTAATTATATTTGACATTCACTGGCATGTAAACTTACTACTTCTTTTTATATTAATTTATATAAATACTTTACTCATTTAGGGACTCTCTTACCATAAAGTATCGTTTGCTCTTGTCTTCATGTGTTTAAACGGAAAAAGATGCAACTTTGAGCATTTACGAAATATTAGAACTAACTGCTAGTTTTTACCGTCACCATCAAACGTTCTTTTTATCGTTATGATAGTTACTAAACCTTCATGGTCATAATTACCAATAATTACAACCACTATCATCATCGACATTGCCGTCATCGTCACCAGCTGATTCAGGACCATCGATTGTATCGTCAAAAGCATTGTTATTCTATACAAAATAAATATTAGTCCGGTCTCTTCAAATTAAACGACATTTAAAACGACACCGCCGTTTAAAGTATGAATATTTACGGCGAAAACTTTAAACGGCGGTGAATATTTACTGCGGGAGCAATATACGGCTATATAAGATGCCAAGAATCTTTATAACGAATTATATACATGTCTTACATGTATATCTTTAATTAGAAAAAAGGCACTTTATAAAAAGACAGCAGTTGTGTAATAAGTTTATATCAACGTTAGGAATCCAATGTAATGCGACGTTACAAACGTGCACTTTTATAACGGTAGCTACATACGACGAGCTGTAGGCGGCGTGAGTTATATACGGCGGGATGGCGGAAACAAAATTCGGCGGGAGCTAAATACTGCGTTACACACAGCTCAGTCATAATTAATTACTAAAAGTAACAACTCATCTAAGATCCATCTAAACACGATTCGCTGAAGTACAATTGAAAAATGTTTATTGAAATATCTTTACGAATCTCCGAGTGTATGCCATTTTGATGCATCAATTTATCCTCAATTTACAAACACACATTTAGATGCTCAGGTTTAAACACTAACAGTTAATATGTCATTAATAACAATAGTAACAGAAAATATAGAAATAGACTCGTTTTACTTCTTTACAGCATAGGAATTTGAAAACGTGAACAATTAAAATGAACTGCTACAATTATTTTTTTTCTAAAAGAAAGATATACGGTTTTTTACAAACAGATGAACTGGTATACATAAATACGAAAAGCAATATGATAAATACATTAGTTAATATAATGGTCAGTGGGCCTTTCAGTCAGTATATTTATAAAGCAGATGATAAAATTCTTGCATGCACTTCATATAAAATTTAGTAAAATAAAGATTCATATGAAGACAAATTATTTAATTTTTTTCAGCGTTACCATTTTTTGCTCTCTTTATTTCTATTGTAAATTTCAATTAAAGCTAATTTTCAAGTTTTCAGTATATAAAATGCACTGTTCGTTACTTTTTTGCGTGCTGCATAAAACCAATTCTTTTCGACCAGATTTTTTACGCGGAAATGCAAACTAAGCAAGTTCTTTATTTGCTCTTTTTTGCATAAAAGGATGTACGTTCAGATTTCAGTCAACTATAAATGAATAATTTAAATCTAATTAGAATTCACGATGTTCTTAATCCATTATTCATTCACTTAGTGCCGCCTTTAGCTAAGCACCTCTTTAATTAGCACCATAATGGAATTATTTTACCGTAGTGATAAATGATGAAAATAGTAAGACCATAATATAGTTAAAGTAATTAAATCAAGTAAACTGTACCTTATAGAAATACGTACACTTGTAATCAGGCACAAAAATGGATTCCAAGAAACAGGGAGAAAAACTAAGTATTACCGCAGCTTTTCATTTTTTGTAACTCTAAGGCGATAAATATAAAAAGAATGGTCAAAATGATGATCAGTGTACGTCATTTTTCCAAACTAAACTGTGCATTTATAACCATTTTGTCCATAAAAATTGGCATTTAATGAATGTAAATATAGGACATTTGGTGATGAAATAACATGTTTCAAACAACGATGTTCATTTAAGTTGTATACATTAACAAACACACCTTAGACATCTCTGTTTCGCTTCGATATTATGATATAGCAAATTCTACATCATGTCATACATGAATTCATAATGGATTTTCATTAGCTTCTTTTTGTTATGATTTATAAAAACGGAAATCATATAAAATCAATATAAATTCTTTTGTTTCATGTAGTGTTTTTCGAAAAGACCCAATTATTACATTATTTTTATAACGAGACCCCCTAGGTGCCGTTGGAAGGGGAGACTGTTATTGCACTTCGGCTTAATGAATACGTTGCCTTCCTACCTCATTACCAGCCAATACCTTTTTAACGGAAGCCACATTTATTTCCTTAGCGGTATATCCAAATATATATCGAAGACAAACAATTGATTGAAAACAAAACAGAAACACCGACCCATTAAGTCTGCAGGGACCACCTTGGTTCAAAACAAAAACATGTCCAGTCCCTCCATAATGATTCAAGATATCATTAATTGATTTGTTAGAACAATTTACAGCATATTTGTATTTTTTGCCGACATATACTGGTTTGAAATAATAATAGTAACTAAATAATAGATATATAATAAGACTGTAGAGATTAATAAAATCACAAATTACATTGCTGAAACATTTGCAATATGAGTGCGACATTACCTGCCAAAAAATTTGATTGCTTAACAGAACATAGAAGCATTGTTTAGTTAGGACAACTAACATCATATAAGATACATTATTTTATATAATTTGCGATTTTTTTTTAAACGACAAGCACAATTTTATAGGTCTGTGTTGTGACAAAGGCGATATAATATAATTAATTATTAATTATAAGTTACATTGCAGAAGAAAGCATTTGCAAGGGGACGTCACGTGTCAAATGTTTGAATAACGTAACAAAAATTAGGGAAAACATTCATGGAATTAATTTGTTCCGTCTAATGAATGTGATTTGACACCATATCTATCTCACGAAAATATTTAAGCGTTACATAAATCATTATGCATAAGCGATATGTAATTTAGAATTAACTTTTTTTTAAACTGGGGTATCAGTTCATTAGTTAAAGGTAAACAGAGCACAAAAACAAATCGCACAATTTCTTTTATGGCAATTACTAATTCAATTCCTAAGCTTTGCTTTTTGGAGATACAAAATAATAATTTAGGTATAGCCTTATATAAACAAAAGTCTCGTTAACTTTGACACGAAATGTTGAAATGCATAACCGCATCTGTAGTTCAATTAAGAGTCAAGAGTATACTAAGTATTTTATATGAAAAAGTCATGCAAATAAATCCGTTTTCAAGAGCAGCAAATCTTGCTTTGCTATATATTTCTTTCAGTATAAGTTTTTGTGATATATGTTTTTGGTTTGACAACTTAAGTGCTTGGTAATTATAATTAGTATACTACTTGATATGACAATGCCACATATTGTAATTTACCACAGCTATATTAAGAATTGCTTATTTGCCTTATATATACATGATAAGGAATGCAACTTTAGTAACATGATGTAATATAGTCTTTTCATGTGGTAAAATATGAAAACCTTATTTTATAACACGCCTTTCAAACGTAAACATATTAATGTACTTATCTCAGTGATAATAAAATGTTGTTAGGGGAATTAAGATGATTTTTATAAAGATTTATGAATTATCATTATGAACAAGTTGAGACTAAAATGGTTTAATTACATTGAGTGCAGTTTAATTATTTGTGTAAGACGCTGCAAAGTTTAATTTACAAAGTATTAACACTATGTTTAAATAGCTTTTCACAATTAATTACGTTTCAAAAAACACTGTTAAACACAAATTATGCAATTGTAAAATATAACCAAATCATTCAATTTTTTTTTTAAAAATGTGTTGGTACAAATGTATAAATAACATGTACTTTACCACATTATCCATGAAACAAACGATTATGAAAGTACTTATCTTAGTATGTGACTGTGTGTTATTTTTATCATTTTATTTTTAAGATATTTTACAAGTACAATTAATTCAATCTTGCCTTGAAATATTTGCAGTAAATATACTTGTTTGATATCTTTAAGAAACGAAACGTCATATTTATTTTCTGCTATAAACTAATTTGATTCTGTCTATTATCAAGAAGGATATTTGTCTCAAGTTCGTGTTACTGTTTGTCACTGATGTTATTGTGGTTAATAAACCCTGTAATGTTAGAACGTTCCGTCGTCTAGTGCATCTTGGGATCTTCCATCAACACCAATTTAACTACATCGTTACAAACAACCGCGGGCGCCTCTCTAAAGGAATAAAAGACTCGGCAACAATGTCTTAATAATCTAATTTACACTCAAACGTGGGACTGTATTTGTGACGTGAAATTGAATTGAATCTGTAGAAGCTACTTTGCATAGATGCTTCGACACTTCAGATACATTGTCCTTTCAGAAGACAATAAAAGCTAGTTTTACTCCGACTATCATTCCTTTTCTAGTGGGTTAACACAATGATGCTATGTAACAAAATGTACAAGTTTACTTTGATAAGCCTTATTTTATTCTTAAATCACATTATGATTTGTCGTGGATTTGCGTTAGGACAACACTGCAGGTATGTTTGTGTATGTCTAATAATTAGTGTTGTTTATTTGATGTTGTTATTGACAGGAGATGGTACGGTGTACTGTGAGGGGAACGGTAAGGAGTACGGTTGATCAGATTGTGATTATTATACCCATGATTCTTCTTCTGGTAGACACACCATGTGCCGCCCGACCGAGACGCAGGTTTTGTGAGTAAGTCTATATAATGCAATATTGTACATTTTCTTCTATGCCACCATTGTCCCTTTAGTTTTTGTTTTTCCTACCAATTAACACTTCTTAATAGTTAATTAGAAATTTTGGATAAATCAAGATCATTTTAATTAGTAAAAATTCACTTAATCCTTTTTACAAAATTGATACATTTTACACCAATAATTTTATTTTTTAAGAAATTCTGTTGTTTTGTTTTTTTTGTATCAGAATAAAACTTCTTTAAATATTAAAAGAAATAAATGATAATAATAATTTACATTTTCATACTTGAAATGTTATAAAAATGCGTATTTCTTTCTGAAACCCAATCCAGTCCGTTATAAATCAAACAAAAAATGGCATTGTGAATGAAAAATAAATAAGTAGTGTTTATTCTATTAATTGTTTTTAATTGCTTATATTTGTTTCTATTTGTAACTGTAGCAACTGCCAAGTAGATATGAACTAATTTTTAATCACCAAAAATTAAGCGTTAATTTAATCTTTTTTATTTTTAATCTCTTTGTAATAACACTTTTGTTACGGGCATGAAGTTTTTCTTCTGCGCTTTTTCGTCGAACTGTTTTCATTATTTCAAACTAATTTGTAAAACATTACAAGGTGTTTAATCACATATTGTGTCGGATGCCTTCATGCTATCTTGTAAAGTTTCCACCCTTTATATTGAGAAACAAGCAAAACTTTCTGCCAAACTCGGCAATTAAGTTTTCCAGTCAATTGATCAATGTCTATAAACACTGCAGACGAAGTCAAACGTTGTTTTATTGTTCAGTCAATTTGTATGTAATCACATAAACTGTTTTGTTCTTTATAAACTGTATATATTTCGGAAAAATATACTGGTATATTCTAAAAAAAAGAAGATTTATTTTGATGGCTTCTTAGTAATCAGTATCAATTACATAAAAATACAATTAAGTACATTTGGTAATATTATTTTGGTGGCTGCTCTAAACATAGCTCGGTTTAAAGATTTACTATGCTCATCCTAGAGTAAAATATTTCTATCAATGAACTTTTTTGAAATCTATAAAATGCTTACCTAATATGTCTGATTTGAATAAAGAAATGAACACATTATGTATTGGAAGCTGTGTTCCCTATTACAGGTCAAGTAAAGTCGGTCCTTTCTTAAAAAAAACTGCCAGTTTTATTAATGATACTTATAAATTCATATTGTGACTACCTATAGTGTGTAGAGTTTAAAACATAACATATCTACTTTGTGTCAAGTCAAAACATGTTTTCTTTATATTTATAAAAAGACTGTGAAGCAATTTTTAATATTTTCTAATATCAAATTTATGCATAATATATCTTTAAATTAAATGTTATTTTGTTAACAAGAATGTAGATGTCATATTTTGTAATATAGATTTTAATTTAATTTGATACTTTTTTGTTAACAGATAACTTATTATACAAATCGTTTCCTAATAAGTATCAAATATGTTTCCCAATTTATAAATATCGGTAGCTTATTTTGTCAACCAAGTCTTTATCATTCAAGTTTGGAATTCCTAATGCGTCATATAAGTGCATTATTTTTTTTTATTAAACCATTATTTAATATTTCATGTAATAAGTTCTCCATTTTTCTGATATATCCATTGTTTATAAGAATAGATTGGTAATAAACGGTTACATTTGTAGATAAAATATAAATATATATAAACTGATTTAACAGATTATTTTTAGAACATATTTTGTCAATGTCTTCCGAAAGAATAGTTTCATTCAGTTCATTTCACATTATGTTTGCTACGTTTATGTTTCAAACCGTGATCTAGCATACCCATTCGAGATATTTTAATATTCTTGTAAGATAAGTTTCGAATTGCAGGAAACTTAAACTGAAAAATGAAGCGTTATGTAATAATATGAATCATGTATCGCGGAAACATAAGAGTATCTTAAGAGAATCAAATTGAATTCAGTCATATACAAAACTCAAGCGTTATTTTCAGTTTTCAAAATGTTGTCACTGTTATTAGATTTCTGTTAAAACATGAAAATTTCGTGTTTCTCCTGTAGAAAGTTCATCTTTAGAAGTTTGTTTAATCTGATTTGCCCATATTTGCCATGTTTATAATTTAGCTCCTAATATCATAATAAGATCTTTGCTAGAAGGTCGCTTCGTAAGATGGCAATATACATTTCCGTTGTCACGTATGTTTCGTGGATGGCTACAAGCCTTTTGACCAGAAAATTAAAATAATTATAACTAAAAGCTAAGGTAATTACAAATAATTATCTCACATTGTTATAAAAATGCCAAACAAACTAATGTATATACTAAAGTTCTCTTTTCAACAAAATAAAAGGTTCCCGGACATTTTTGTTCTTTTCTCGTTGTTCTTTCAATCATTATAACTTTTCTAAGTTTGTTTTCTACAATTAAATTTACTTCTGTTTGATGAAGGGAATTTTACAAAATTTCTATATAACTTGAATTTATTACTTATACTTTTGTCAAATAAATGTAAAATTTATATCAGCAGTTTGAGTCATTTCATGTAAATAACAAAAATAAAAGCAATATGGGCATATATAGGCATTTTGCATGTCGATCGAGGGCAACAGATTCTACCGACCATACGATAATAGCAAACCATGATCAGACGGTGCATCCAAAGCTGTCTGATCATGGTCTACTCTGTCAGTTATTCTATCAATTCTGATGAACTCTTCCCTTAACATGATAAATAATTTTGTCAAATTTGTTGATGAAAGTTAGATCAGTTGATACAAAGTATTTAGCGGGTTAATGATTGGTATTTGTCTGTCTTCTTGTACAAATAACTAAACATTAAAATATCATTGTAACACTTTTCCAATATTTCTATGACACTTTCTGCTTACGTTTAGAATTTTCTTTAACTTAAAGTCTTACCTTTCTTTAGTGTCACTCGTTTAATCGGAACCAAACTTACGACTCAAAAAGAATTTCATGAAAACTGAAAATCGTTAACAAAACATGTTTCTTGTTCGTTAACAATATGTGTTTCAGATCATTCATTTTCATTCATTATTTAAAGTTTCAATATTTTTAAGCATTAGATTATGTCCTAACCTTTCTAATTTCCACTGCCACGTTTGACATTTAATGTTTGTCAGCGTCCTGTTGAACTCAATAATTAAATGTTTCTACGAATTAATCATCAGAAAAAAAGCAATTATGTTGAATGTTTTTTCGAAGCAGATTCAAACAATGTCTTTTGGAATTTAATCATTTGCTTCCCGCATGCGTCGAGGTGTCACTTGTAACATTTTATTTCCGCATGTGGAGGTTATTGTTAAAGACCAGTCATTCTGAACATGCATTTTCTTTCCGCAATTATCATAAAAGAGAATGTGTAAAAGTTACATGGGTGGATACACTTAAAGCAAATCAAAACCTTGATGGCCACTACCGTATCTTTTCGAAGATTTCTCGAAAAAGTTTTGCCGCACATGATTATTACCAGTTAAAAGAAGAATATGATCCGTCTAAGAACAATATTCTAGTTTTATTGTTATTTGGCTATGATTTTGTACAATCACCAGTCTCTTTTATGTTACTTAACAAACAATTTCCAATTAAGGCCCTTTGGACAGTTAGGTAATTATACATTTTTGAGTACAAGGCTGAATTGTTGCGGACGAGTACACTGCTGCTAAAACAACATTAAAGAAGGTGCTTACCGAGTATATAAGGTGTACTAGTCTAATAGAAGAAGTGTTATACACTCTACTCAAAAATGTATACTGACCTGTTTATTTCACACCACTATTTTTGACATATTGACAGTAACTTGCTACCTCGGGTACAATATTGATTTGTTACGGGTATATTTACTCTGAAAATGAAATCGAGGATAGATGGAGTATAATATATTTAACTAATATGGATTTTATGGACTCGGAAATTAGAAAAAGATAGGTTGAGTACAATAGTGATTTAGTATGGATGATTGGGTACAATACTAAATTGATCAGGTGGAATCTAAAAGTAATAATTTATATTGGGATATTTCATGGCGTTTGGCATCAATGTTTTGATTTTGAAATTAGATAATTATAAAATTTCCTTTTATAAAGAAGTATAAAATCTTAAAGAGGAAGACGCTAATGAAAGATGATGTCACTTTAAATGTTAAAACATTTAAAAACAATTATTCTGAAATATGATACTTGTAAAAATATCTCAGAAGATGTGCATCATTCATTCAAAAATTATCATTTTATCATTTTTTCAATAATAATGAATTTTACAACAAAAAATTTCCATGCAGGAAACCTTATGCGTTAGTGTAATAGCTTCAACGCACTCTTCAAACAGACAGCAAGAAAAGCTTAATGCTAAGGTACTAATATGTATTCATTAGAATAGAAAAATCACAATTGTTTGAAAGGTAAGCATTATCTCGTTAATCAAGTCTTACTCTATGTGAGTGGCCGTACATACATCGTCGAAAACGTTCGATATTTCACTAACTTTCAATTTCAAGCTTTTTATTTCCAAACGTCAATTGTAATGCATATACTCGTATATGCATTTTCATTAGGATATCCCATGTACTCCAAAAATATTGAAAGTCATGATCAAGATCGGGATCAGCTTTTAGATGTTACACTTTCTTTTATTTTTCTTTCTTGCTTAATAGTTTAATTTAAAGTTATCTTAACATATTAAAACACTGCTTGATATATTCACGGGGAATAAAAACAAATTTCTTTTCCACTAATATATTATTAACCCGTGTTATCGGATAAGAAAAAAAGTTTGTTTTTTTCGATTGAGTTTTGAAGTGACTGATTTCATTAGTTAAAGCAAATATATGTATATTGGATGAGCCAAATATAATGTTGATGATTAAACATCCTTAATTTGTAATGCTCATTTTGATCGCATTAACTTTAAACCCATATACCGGCTACTCATTCAAACAAACATAGTTACTTAATATAAAGCACATTGTGATTTCCATATAACA